TGAAAGTCACAATGGATGATGACAATGGTTGCAGCATTCCTAGGTGTCAGAATATCCATGTAAGATATGTTACCCTGCCCTCCCCATGTTCACTCCATCAAAACAATTTCAGAGATTGATCTAGCTATCTGAATCATGTCTACCCCATGGGTATGACATTACAAGACCATCAGAATTGTGTTACAAAGGTCCCCATATTTGTTTCATCAACATACCTGATCCCCTCCTCATACCCCAGGGATGGTGATCTAGTAACATCAGGAGGGGGTGCCAGCTTGCCAGGGATGGATGTCCTGGGTGTTATCAATGCCACTGAAGACAATGGAAATGATTTCCAGCCTCCCAGAAGTATTTCCAAAGAGATACCACTTTGTGGTCTGACCATCCTTCTACCCCCTGTAGATTTTTTTTCTGACCACCAATTTCATTCAAATTTCACCTGGGACATCCCAATGGACATATCTATCAACTCCCAGCATTATTTCCCCCAAATTATGGTCTTTTTTTCCGACTGCCAATTTCATTCAAATTTCACCTGAGACATCCCAATGGACATATCTATCAACTCCCAGCATTATTTCCCCCAAATTATGGTCGGGAGTTTCTAATTATAATTCCCCCAGGAGCTGTATAATCACCTGATCAGGCACTACAGCTTTTTGTCATGACACACCAGCAGACCCAGATGCTACTGTCCAGCCCTGTCCAGCCCCTATTGCACAGCTGATGATCAAGGGCACTACCAAATCCAGGCTAATCTCACATACAGCATGTCCTAAGTAACATGTTCACCCAAAAATGAAAGAAGTAAACTTTTCACTATATTCAAATTCCACCACCACTACACAAATTGATACCCTACTAGGACTACTATGACTACTTCCACTTATAGGCCATGCTATACTACACTTGTTGGGTAGTCAAAAAATGCAGTGGCTACACTACACTGCTTTGGGGTAGTCAAAAAAGCAGATGCTACACTACAAGTAGCTGGTAGTCAAAAATGTGGTCTCTCTAGAGTCTGTGGCAGCTTCAAGTCACTGATCACATGATGACTGGTCTGACAACATCAGGTGACTCCTTTCCCAGGGATCCCTGGAAAGCTCCAAGCCTCTGGGGAAAAAAGTAAACTTTTTGCTATATTTGAATTCCAACACTACTACAAACTAGACTACTACTACTCCAGTTTTTCAGTAATCACTACACACTACAAAAAGTGCAATATAGGGCCATCCCATACTACTACCAACCTGTGGTAATCAAATTGGTAGTAGTTAACTAACCCATTAGTCCAACAACCCTAATCAACTATGTGTCCTTGGTAATCAAAAAAGTGCACTCTGAGACTATTCCATACTACTACCAACTTGTGGTAATAGTTGTGTGGTTGGCTTTGTACTGTTGCATGAAAGCCACAATTGTGCACTTCTGGGTATTTGGTGGACTTGGGAGAATTTTCACTATGCTTGTTGGGTAGTCAAAAATGTGGTCTCTCTAGAGTCATCACATGACCTCCTTTCCCCAGTTCCCAGGGGGTCCCTGGAAGCCTCTGATTTTTTTTCCCCCCAGATCCCCTGGACCCTGGACCAGGTTCCAAAAAGTAGATGGAATATACTACATTCCATTCCAGGTAACAGTAACACATACTCATTGATTAGTCATTGTTACCCTGCATGGGCATGCTGGGTGCCCACCTATCTGCCATCAATGTACATCTGATGAATCCCTCATGGGTTTGATTGGACCAGATCCAATGGCAATTCATTGACATGGGATAACATTAGATAGGGGTTATATTTCCATATATATATCTGTGCTAGGGCTAGGGTTTAAATGTGCCCTAGGGTCGGGCAGGTTGCATAAACTCATTCTTGCATCAGGAACAGTGCCAACAAAGAGAGGTGTCATATTTATTCCTGCGCAGAAACATCCTTTCATGATCATCCTGCCACTCGTCACTGTAGCAGTAGCTAGGATGGCATTGTCTACATACCAATGCTTTTAGCGCTCAGCACGTTCAGAGGAGAGGTGAGGAGTAACATAATAGATCCATCTAATATACCAAGTGTACAACAGGCACGAAGAATGGCAACTGAAGGGCTGTCATAAAGTCCACTCAGGTGCTACGTCCTCTTCTTCTTTGTCCCCTTCTTCGGCGCGGGAGCGGGGACAGGCGACGGCGATCTCGACTCTTTCGCATCCTCGTCCTTCTGTGCATCGTCTATTCCCCGTTTCTAGCGAGCAGTACGTATCAATTTCTGTGACAGGATCCCTATAAAAAAAGTCGACCAACATACCTTACTCCGTCCACTCTTGGATTTACCCTCCTGTTGTGCTTGAGCCTCCGCCTCCTTCTCTATCATACCTAAGAGCGTATTACACCGTCTCTGCAATTCTTGCGTACTCCTGCTCTTGAAGAACCAGTCAAAGCGGAAAACAGGGAACTCCGATATATCTCTCCGGATACGTTCGTACGCGTCCTCAGTGCTCATACCATAGTGGTGCAATCGAACCAGTAGATACCGATCCTCTTCCTCCGAATAAACCTTCCCTTTCGTCGTAGGGTAGTTGAGCTCAAGTTCTTGCATCGGGTGTTGGACACTTGCAATCTTTTTAGCAAGAAGCGCTTCAAGATTGGAACGTTTGTTCCTCTTCGCTTCACCTTCAGCGATGCGCGCAGCAATACGAGGGTGTTCTGCGAAGGAATGATATTCAGCTAATCGACTTGAAACCGTGCGGAAGCGAAACGACAGACCAGATAATTCCTTCCAGTGTTTCTTGAAATGCAAATAGTATTCTTTAACCTGCTTCGCATTCTTGTCTTGTATCTCTGACGCAAGTAATTCATAGTCATCTGTCCTGAGAGGCGTTGAAACAAGGAGGTTCGTGACACCATAATAAGCAACGTACCATCCGTATGTCTCCAGTGCACGAACAAACTGCTGGAAATCTCTTCGACTCCAGTCGTGGAATCCCTCTGCGAGGTACCGTTCCTTAAGTACTTGCTCTTCCTCCGTGAGAGGCTCAGCTAACCAGGAATAAAGAGAAAATAAGTATCAGTACCGGACGACGTAACAGTATATCAGACGCACCGGTATCTATGAATTCTTGAGCAGTCGCACGTTCCGCTTCAAGCTTCTCAGGTGTGTCCTCAGGACCTTGTGACTCTCGGAGTGTCGCAGGAATGTTATTCGTACGCTATCCATATCAAAGATTTCGTGCTCAATGCCACTTAGGAAGTGTTGTGGGTAACATACCTTGAAAACGGCGAGCTCCCGTTCTTGTAGCTGCGCCAGTGTTGGGTTGAAAAACTGAAAGTCCTGGCTAGATAGGACGTGCCCTGTGTCAGTAGCGACTCCACACCGAAGCACAGGAACGGGCACCCACATCTGAACCTGCTTGGGTGCGCGAGGCAACTTCGGAGCTTTTTCGGGCTTCGAGGGTCCAGCTCGTAATGTATCCTTGAAGTAGCTATCCACAGAATAGTTCGTCTTCCGCTCACGCTTTGACAGCGAGATATTGAGATTAAGTCCCTTACGCTGTAGGCATGGTTAGTCTGTTTGAAAATGTCCCAGACAAGAACGCATGAACATCGACGTACAGCCCTAAAGTCTTCACCCTCCCATTGTTGGACAGTGCTATCCGACTTGAAATTGCTCAAATCTTCTAGGTTCAGGCCCTCATAGCGACTGTTCAGCTCCAGTGTACGCTCTTCTCCACGTTTGATGATCGCATCGATGTCATCGTTAATTAGGAGGCTGTTCAAAGCGTGCCAATCAACACAGGGAATGGTTACGCCGCGACCACGAGACCCACTCATCCCTAGAATTGATTATCTTCTCCGCCCCATGCGTAATCATTTCCAAAAGCTCTTCCTTCGACGCAGCTGGGAAAAGAGAGAAAAAACATTAGCCACGATATCAAATAGGAGGACTGGCCCGTAACTCGCCTTTCGATTGCTGCTGGCGCCCCTGCTGGATGACGAGTTGGTCGAGACGCAATTTCTGTGCTGCACGCTCCAGCATTCGCTCTTCGACGGTATCTTCCGTGATGAACCGGAAAACATACACCTGCTTTGATTGCCCGATCCGATGTGCACGGTCCATCGCCTGTAAATCAGCCTGTGGGTTCCTGCATGTCGTTAAACCCGCTGCATAAGCTCTCCATCCATGCAAAATGCACCCAAAGACCGGGTTGAGCGAACGCACCAATCACTGTCATACAGGATTACGATGTCAGCAGTCGTCAAGTTGATACCAAGACCACCCGCTCGGGTTGTGAGAAGGAATATGAATTTCTCGCTCTCCGGCTTGTTGTAGTCATCGATCGCCACGATTCGCTCGTCGTGGGCCGTACTACCATCGATACGGCAGTACTCTGCATATTGGTCAGCAACTCGGAGCGTCAAACGACAGGGTACACATTACTGAAACCACGGAAGAGGCAGTAGTCCTCTAGGATATCGAGCACGCGGCTCATTTGCGAGAAGATCAGCACGCGCGAGCCTTTAGCCCTCATTGACTTGAGAAGTTTATCCAGAATAATCATCTTCCCACAGTTCTCGATGATATGTTCGTCCGTCGTATATGGAGGACCGGGTTCCTAGGGCGTCGACATCAGGGTCAGAGAGTAAAGAGGAACCAGTATCACCACGAAGTGTACTCACAGCTCCATCAAAGAGATAGGGGTGACACGTCACTTTGCGAAGCTCGAGGGCCCGTTAGGCACAGCGTAGGTGTTCGACTTCACAGAATGACCTACCTGCATGACCATGTTCATCAGTCGCGTCTTCCCTTCTTTCTTCCCAGTTAAACCTACGGGGCGTGCTCAGTCCAAGAACAGAATCACACCAGATATGAAAGGTATACCATTAACAGGCATCGATGTCCTTTTCCAGAACCGAGCGGTACCACTTGCGCTGCATCTCTGTCATACCAACATAAATGTTTATTTCTTTTTCTGGGATACAAGCATAAGCTTTCGATAAAATTGATCACCAAAGGAATACTTGCTAGGCAAAAGACTCTTCTCAACGTCGGACTTGACCCGTCGGAGAAGGAACGGTCGCAAGATTTTGTGCAGCGCTTCGACGACCTTCTTGCTCCTCTCTTCTTCATTCCCAGTACCGCTATCGTCTTTATGGAGAAAAGCGTCAAGATCTGCGTAGTCTGAAAAAATCTCGGGGCAAATGAAGTTCAGCAGTGCGAACAACTCCTTCAAGTTATTCTGAAGTGGAGTACCGGTGATTAACAGCCGTCCACGAGACATGAACGAGCGAACGATCTGCGCCAGGATGGAGTCTACGTTCTTGATACGGTGCGCTTCGTCGATGACGATGTACTCGAACGAAAACTTTTTCAGAGCAGACTTTTCGATGAGACAAATCTCGTATGACGTCACACAAACGTCGAAATCCTGTGGGATGAGTCGCTCAGCGATGATCTCGCTACGTTCTTCCTTCGTGCCCGTTAGAACTACAACGTTTATATCCGGGGTCCACCGCTCAAACTCGCGAGCCCAATTCTGCAACGTGGATTTAGGTACGACGATGAGATGAGGACCTTGAGTTGAACCATAGTGCCTCAAATAGCCAAGGAAGGAAATGGTCTGCAGTGTTTTCCCGAGGCCCTATCGAAACTAGTTAGGTTACGGGAGCACACTACCAGCACAATCGCGTACCATCTCATCTGCAAGGATGCCGTTCAAACCGTTGTGGTGTAATGAAACCATCCAGTTCAATCCCTGTAACTGATATCCCCTCATGGTTCCCTTGATATCTACGTTGCTATGAGCTGGGAGTCATAATAATTACGGAACGGCGTACAGCTGGGTGATTCCTCGAAAACGAAAGGTTGGTCGTCCCCCTCAGCGGCAAGCTCGCCGTCTTTCAACATTTCCTCGTCCTCTTCTTTCTCTGATTTTCTGTGGCGGGCACTCTGGTCGCTAGGGAGGGATGAGAATAGAGCGGCCGGATGACAACAGAGAGCACTCACGCCGCTTTTTTACGCCCTCTTCCCTTCTGCTTTGGTTGAGCATCTAGGAGTGCGGCGTACTGAGGATCGCGCGCTTTCTGCAGACGAGAAATTAGTAGATAACTAAAACGTTCGAAAACGTGTTCGACCTTGATATCGACAAAATGCTTAAAGAGATCGGTTTGACCGAGCAAGTAAGAGTAACGTTTGACGGAATCCGCAATCTAATCCAACTATGGGTTAGTTGTAAGATGATTGGCTTGTACAGGACGTACCTTGGCTTTATCCATCTCTTGCCTCTTAACGTGGAGCTGGCTCTCGTCCGCTTTGCGTTTTTGCTTTTTCTCACGTCTTTCTGCCATCTGCTGCATCTTAGCGAGCTTGGAAGGCGATGATTTGCTGGTGGACGGTCCCTAGACGTGCGTGTTGGATCGAGGATCACAGCGCACAGGAGAGAATTGAAATGAACCTACCCCAAGCTCCTCTTCGCTCTGTAACTCAGTCCTCTTCTGGGCTCGCGTCGGCGTCTATATATTCACTCTCACCGTCGTCTGCGCCTTCGCTTTCCTGCGAAGGAGGGAGATCACGGGCGTGCATGAGAAATACATGTGACCAATGCCAGGGGGAAGCGCTTACTTGACGGGAGACGATGTTGCTGGGAACAACATCGCTCAGCACGTCTTCGTCCATCGGTACTATGGAGTCCTTCATAAACAGATGTGTGAACCTGACAGCACGGTGAAGCAGAGACGACGCACTGTCATTTTGGCGGGCAGCAGAGGGTGAAAGAGGACTCCAAGGGCAGGTGTGACGTGACGCGTGACAGGTCGCGTGTATCATAGGCCGAAATGGTCTGATTAGACATGCATACGCTCCGTACTGTGAAGTACACAGAATCGTATCTTACATTCACATGGCTCCTGGTCGTATCAAGAAGTGGTTCAAGTCGCTCGGCAGTGATTCGAATCGCACCAGCCGGAGCGATCCATGCAATATAGCTCCTGCTGCAGCTGAAGCAACGGCTGCAGGTATGACATTGTTCTAGCCTACGAAACATGACATGCTTAACGTGGGGACACAGAAGCTAGCGATCTTATTGGTGATGTGGTGAATCCAGTTCCCCCTCAGATTAAGAATACTCCGCAAGGTATTATCGTTGCTCTTCGTGAAATCTCAATTGTCTAATGCCAAATCACAGCAACTGTGTCTTCTGGACCTGCTTACCGTCTCAATTCTGAGATGGCTCAAGAATACATGAAAAAAGTTGAGCACTTTCGAGTTCTGGTCATGGGCAGAGCGAATGCCGGTAAAACTACCATCCTCCAAAGAGTGTGCAACTCTGCTGAAAATCCGGAGATCTTCGATGGAAAAGGAAACAAGGTATAGTTCTATAGGGTCGGTAGAATCCTGTGACATCTATCTAACAATTTTCAGATTGATGATACTATTGTGCAGGGCACTTTGGCAGTAAGATGCCACATTGACTCGTGGAAACTCATATGAATGCTCAATGCTCCCAGTGTGGCTACCATAGAATTGAGCATGAGCTCATTTTTCAGAGTAACCTGGGCTTTGTGTTTCATGATTCTTGTCGGTTCGAAGCAGGGGCTGCAGAAGAGTTTGACCAAATGAAGGACTTTGTGGTTGACTGTTCAGCCACTCCGAAGGTGAATGAATGAATACATGCCATCTGGTAAGGAACGCAGTGTGCGTGACTACAGTCTAAGGCAACAGAATGTAGGTTTTGCATCCCCATGACTAAGAACCACAGGACAGTAACTGCTGCTGAGCAGAAGTTCTTCAATGAGTGTGACACAGGACATGGTGAATTCTTTTGCTGGGTTGATTGTCATATAACTAAGGACCTGCCTAGTGCCTCTGATAGTGTTGTTGACAAAGGTGGATACCTTGAATCTGGATGCAATTGAAGAACTTGAAGATGAAGGCTGGGAGATAGAAGGAGCACATGAAGAGATTGCAGAAAAGGAACAGGAATTGTTGAAAAAGTGGCTTGCACACATACAACATGAGCTTGGCAAGTGCAAGTTTCCACATAAAGGATATGTGACACTTCAAAGTGGGTATTTTGTCACTCAGAGATAGTGCTACTGAAAATTCCTGGTGGTGGCAGAGATGCATCAAGAGAGTGCAGACTGCAGTGCTTTAATGCATTGCACTGCAAATGTGTTGAATGAGGAAGGTTTACAAAGGTTACTTATATCAACACAGCAGTCAAGTATTGCACTTTGTGTTCAATATGCTGTGCACAAGTAAGTAAGCAAGTGTATTTTGGTGCAGATACTGATCTTCTGAAGGACATTGAGAGACAGAATGGAGCTAGGTTTCAAGGGAAGATTGCAGGTGTATGCAAAAGAATTGGAAAGTGACTTGCTGAAATGGTTTCCAAATTGTGGTGTAAGTGTCAAAATTCTTCCAACATATGGAGTGAATGACACTCACATTTTATGTTCCCTTGAATGTAATAACAGGGTGTGAGTAATTAATGGCATGGCCATGCTGGATTTGCTGACTAGGGTCATTCATGCTCTTGATGTTGGTGGCATGGCAGTATGTGAGTGATTTCATGGCATGTTTACCTGGATGTCTGCTCAATGGCCTCACTTGCACTCTTGATGTTGGTGGCATGACAGTATGTGAGTGATTTCATGCCATGTTTAGCTGGATGTCTGCTCAATGGCCTCACTTGCACTCCTTGATGTTGGTGGCATGACAGGATGTGAGTGATTTCATGCCATGCTTAGCTGGATGTCTGCTCAATGGCCTCACTTGCACCCTTGATGTTGGTGGCATGACAGAATGTGAGTGATTTCATGCCATGTTTAACTGGATGTCTACTCAATGGCCTCACTTGCAATCTTGATATTGGTGGCATGATAGGAGGTGAGTGATTTTATGGTATGTTCAGCTGGAAGTCTGCTCAGTGCAATACCTTGCACTGTTCATGATGATGCTGATTCCCTTGACTTCCATACTTTGGGTTCCACTTGACTTGTAGCTTGTAAGTGTTTCTACTCTGTTACCCCTGATATTTGCTACATTTTATGGACTTCCTAAACCACCTTTTATGGCAGAATGTGAGTGGTTGCATGATCATCATTGTGTGGTGGTGCCCTTGGTGTGTCCCCTTCCATGGCAGGAGGTGTGTAGCCTTATAGCAGCCACAATTGGCTACATTTCTCATCCATGTATACTTTGACCATATTTGTCACACATGTACCATTAAAACTCCTAGCTTGTAAGCATTGGCCTAATACCCCTTTTTGTCTAAGGCAAACATACAGAGTACTAGTCAAAATTTAAAGTCAATACTGCTGTCCAAATGCCAGCTCTGCCCAAAGATGTCACTTTGTTGGGGAGGTTCCCAAGTCTCCAGTCAATGGCTGAACATGCCATTGGTAAGTGTTTCCCATTGCCTACACAAGATATACTCACTGCTCTAGGATGCTTGCTTGTTGCTGAGCATTCTTACTTTTTAATGCAGCAAGGGCAACGTCTTTGGCAGGAGGTTTTGTTATTGAGTGTGGAGGAATACAACAGGTCCAATATACAGCCTGCCATTTCAAAAGCTTTCAAGGCAGCTTTTCATGACCATAATGGTGATATGGATGGTTTATGTGATGCTATTATCAGAACCATCACTGAGCATCACCTGTGTAAGTGGATATCTTCACTATTTATAGAGTTATTATCCTGAGATTTTTTCAGCAAACAACCTGTTGAAGGCCAATAAAGTCTGAATATGGTTAAAACATCAAGAGTAACATGTCTAGGTAAGGGACTATTTCTTATCATCAATTTGTAACACATGCTCAGTATTCAGTTTGCACTGCAATGTACCTGGCATCAGTGTGATGTTGGCGCTTGTCACACACACATTCATATCTCTGCTGTTTTTTTTTACAGATTTGAATGTTTGGAGTTTAAAACATTGTGATCACTTGTATACATTGATTTGATGTACAAATACAGGATGCAACCACAGAAGTATGTCTGAACCAAGTGGTGAACACCCCTACCTGTAAGTACCCATGCTCATGGCTGTGCTTATGTACAGGTATTATAAGGTGTACATATGTATTTGTTGCAGTCATGCTCATTGCTTGCCACATCTCAACAAATACAGCTCCAAGTTTCTACCATCAAGTACACTCAACCCAGAGGCTTTAAACCATGCTGCAAGATGTTCATGTAGTAGTGTTATAGTCTTTGAAGTTGTCAAGTGTCATCAGGAAAATAACACTTTACTATTTGACTTTTTGTGACTAATGTGACTTTTTGGGAAGGAATCTACTATCATTACCCATGTCCTGCAGGCATGGCTGCACTTTTCTTGCTGATTTTGGTCTTGTTCAAACCACCTAATTCATAGCTTTCAGTAGATACCACATACATGCTTGGAAATACCAGTTAACATGTGTTTCTCATTACCAGTTCTAGACCTGCTTATTCTATGAGTTTTACTCATATGATGTCATGCTTGCTAAGTTACTCCACAATGACATCACTTAGCTCCACTCATTCCACAATGTTCCATGACATTCATTACTATACATAGTAGGTAGTAACTTTACTTACCATATGTGTCACCTGGTCTGTGTGCATTCCTACATGTATATAAACCAAGGGATTTCTACCTGTATCCCTCAGTGAATTCACTCTCAGTCTAACTGTTCTACGAGCCTCAACAGCTCTACTCAGAAACTGTTTACTTCTCAAAGCTCTATCCAATCTAAAGGCAAGTGCTCAGTCTTAGCTCTTGCCCTTTTCCCCTTTATCCTTGTTCCTCTGCCAATAGGTTATGAGCCCCTGACATCTAACCATTGGTGTGCTATTGTCTTATGAGCATTTACTGATCTCTGGCAACAGCCATATCAGCATGCCATTTGATGGCCTAGATGTGCTAGGATGGAGCTTAGTTACTTTCATTGTGTTGCTTCTTGTGGCTTTTTATCAGACCATTTTTTATCTTTCACTTGGAGGATATGGATCTTTTAGGGAGTTGTATGCAGCCTCAGTAGCTTTCTGGGTTTCTGTGCTAGCCAGACCTATCTGGCATGATCTCTACCTTTACTGGGTAAGAGCATGCATCACTGCTGCCATCAGGGCAGATCTCTGCCTCATTCACAACAGTCTCCACCCTCCTATGGTTGAGGCTCTGCCTCCCAACTACTTTCTCCATGCTATTCCTGATCATGACAACCAAGCTGATCTAGATCCTGTTCCGCCTTACACAGTTGAAGGAGGTGCTGATCCACTTCCCCCTCACTGTGAACTGACTCCTCCTCTGGAGCTCATGTTGGCACTAGGTGATGCTCTTGCTCAGGCAAATGCCTTGATCGCTGAGGTCGATGTCATGGTGTCACACACCAAAGGTGTTTGGTGAGGTGGACATGGATGTAGCTGATGAATGGAGGTGAAGACCATAGCCCTCATGCGAGGAAGGACAGCCAGCAATGTCGGCAGTCATCCCTCACACAAGAACAAGTTGTCAATGCCAAAGAAAAAGGAGGCGGCAGGTTAAGTGCCAATAAAATTCTTAAGCACCCGTGTATGGCATTCCAGTTTTCGACATATCTCCACCAATTCTGCAGACACCGAAACCATTCCCACACTCACTTGTAGTGCTCAGCCACGCGATCCTACCTTCCAAGATTGGAAAGGATTTGCACACTCCACACATTTCTACAGCACTCCCTCCAAAAGACACTCATTTCACTAATTCTTCTGATATGGCTGCCTCCACATCAGTCATTTCACTTGTCCCCTTTGCTAGGGACCATGGCTACATATATCTACCAGGAGTTCCTACCAGCTTCCATCCTGAAGCGTCCTGGTACATCCCACCCTCATCTGCCCCCTCTCAGCCCATCCAGCTTGGACAGCGTGTTCTTTTTGTCAGTATGACCTCCAGGAGGATGTTCTTTGGTTGCCTCAGGTCTGTCATTTGCTTGGAAAGGTCTTATGTGGTTGTTTCAGTCTCTCCAGTCCAAGAAGCATATGGATCCTTCCTCCCTGCCCCCTGCAACATCTTTATACTGGTCTCGTCCATCATTCTTCCAAAATTGCAACAGCTACAGTATAATCTACTGTTCTCCACTCTCCCTGATCACATCCATGACAAGTATGATGCACATCTTGCCTCCTTGTTGCAAGATACAGCAGAAGATGCTCCCCCTTCATCCTCTCTTCCAACAGAGCCTCATTCATGAAGTTTTTATTTGCTTCACTGAGAGGATGGTTTGGGGGGGAAAGTTGTGATCCCCTATGCTCCTGTCACCCCACAGACCCCCAAAGCTTGACCCCTGTTGACATCTGACTCACCCTGTCCACTTTTGGATGTACTATATTGGCATCAGATCAGCACTGCCTCTCTGTCATCCCACTTTGGCCTGGAAGTGATCTCTTCAAGATGTGACATGCATGGTGTGAGTCAAAGTGAGGTTCAGTGGTGAAAACCAACCAAAACCAACACAAAAGACAATGAAAGCGAGTGGTGGTGTGCCTATGTGGTACCTAGATGGTAGAACCTGTTCTTTGGGAGGGTTTTTGCGAGCTACAACACTCAAAGATGAGTGCTGAGGGTTGGGGGTGCTCCTGACGAAGAGGGAGCAAGAATGTGATAGAAAGCGATAGGGTAGACTGCTGTCAGCCTACAGAAGGATGGATGGTGACTTAATTCGATGTCCTAAGCTGCACTGAGCTCAGGGAGGGCTTGGGGTGAAGTATATGGATGATAGATGATGATAAGCGAAGTAGATGATAGCTAGACCCTTAATAAAGTCTCAACTATCGAAGCTGATGAATGATTTACTGAGAGATGATAAATTGCGAGCAAGAGGGGCTCTCTGATGTCTTCTCTTTTTTTTTTTTTGCTACCTAAGTACAGTGACTTATATACAGTACAGGGGTGTTGCCTATGGAAAACAAGGTGCAAACACTTGGTAAGTGATTGGTAACTGATGAGTAAGGAATGTAAGCAATGGGTAATCGTCTTGGAAAGCATTGGTAAGCATTGGTAAGGATAAGTAAGCCAAAAAGTGAAGAATCAGTAAGCAAAGTCAAAAGATTGGTAAGTATTGGCAATAGGTGAGTCAAAGACAGTCAGAATGTCAAAGTATGAGTCAAGCAATGTCAGGAACTGGGAAAGTGCACTGGAATCACATTAGGGGGAGGCTGTGCATGTCACATCTTGAAGAGATCGCTTCTAGGCCAAAGTGGGATGACAGAGAGGCAGCACTGATCTGATGCTGATATAGTACATCCAAAAGTGGACAGGGTGAGTCAGATGTCAACAGGGGTCAAGCTTTGGGGGTCTGTGGGGTGACAGGAGCATAGGGGATCACAACTTTCCCCCCCAAACCATCCTCTCAGTGAAGCAAATAAAAACTTCATGAATGAGGCTCTGTTGGAAGAGAGGATGAAGGGGGAGCGTCTTCCGCTGTTTCTTGCAACAAGGAGGCAAGATGTGCATCATACTCATCATGGATGCGAACAGTAGATTATACTGTAGCTGTTGCAATTTTGGAAGAATGACAGACGAGACTGGTATGAAGACATTGCAGGGGGCAGGGAGGAAGGATCCATATGCTTCTTGGACTGGAGAGACTGAAACAACCACATAAGACCTTTCCAAGCGAACGACAGACCTGAGGCAACCAAAGAACATCCTCCTGGAGGTCATACTGACAAAAAGAACACGCTGTCCAAGCTGGATGGGCTGAGAGGGGGCAGATGAGGGTGGGATGTACCAGGACGCTTCAGGATGGAAGCTGGTAGGAACTCCTGGTAGATATAT